GCCCGGGCAACTTGGCGAGACCTCATCTCTACAATAAATCAAAAATTAGCTGGGCGTGGCAGTGCGTACCTGTAGTTCTGGCTACTTGGAAGGCTGAGGCGGTAGGATCGCTGGAGCCCAGCAGGTCGAGCTGGGGTGGCCGAGAGCGTGCCACTGCACTACAGCCTGGGCGATGGAGTGAGACTCCAACTAAAAAAAAAAAGTAATTTAAAATTATTCCTCAATTTCATCAAGTATCCTATTATTATTGACATTTCCCAAATTGTCTTAAAAATGTTTTTCTTCACAGTTGAGCCACACACTGCATTTATTTATATATCTTCTAGGTTGCACTTTATTTAAATTTTTATCATAGAACACTTGAAACATATATAAAGTAAGAGAGATGAAATGAATCTCCATATACCCATTAAACAGCTTCATCAGCTGTCAACATATTGCTAATATTGTGTGATCTGTATTCCCTCACGTCTCCCTTCCCCCATATCATTTAATTGAGGCCAATTCTAGACATCCTATAATTTTAGCCATATGTACTTGAATACATATCTCTAAAAGATATATTTTTAAAACAATACAATACCTAAATTGGATATTTTTGATTGTTTCATAAATGCTTCTTTAATTATTGGTTTATTCAAAATTGCATCTAAACATTATGGTCTACATACTGTATTTAATTAATATGTCTCTTATATCTCTCTTAATCAAAAGTGATGCCTCCTTTTTTCTCTTTTTTTTTTGCCATTTATTTTTATTTCTTAGCATTATTAAAGAAACAAAAGTCTTTTTCTCTTGGAGTTTTCCACATTCTGGGTTTTGCTGATTAGATTCTTGAGGCATAATTTAATATCATCCCCTCTTCTTGCATTTCTTAGGAATTGTTAGCTCTAGAGCTTAACCAGATTTTCGTTTGGTTGTTAGGCAAGAATTACTTTGTAGGTGGTTCAGTGGACTGCTTACTGCATTGTATTGAGAGGTTAATGACATCTGGTTTTCTCTGCTTTTGTGATTTTAAGTTTGATCCTTGAGTTCAAGACTGATAACTGGTTTGATAGTTGTCAGTTTGGTTCATCCATTATAAAATTCCCCATCAACCTTTTGCATAATGGTTTTAGTTGCCATTGATGAACACTGCCTTTCTTTAGGGAAGAGGATATATTTAATATAACAAAAAGTTTAAATGGTTTACATTAGTAATTATGATTTTTTTTTGTTTTGTTTTTGGAGTTGGCTTCTCACTCTGTCGCCCAGACTGGAGTGCAGTGGCACGCTTATGGACACTGCAGCCTCGACCTGCTGGGCTTCGGCAGTCCTTCCGCCTCAGCCTTCCAAGTAGCTGGAACTACAGGCACGCTACTGCACCCAGCTAATTTTTTATTTATTGTAGAGATGAGGTCTAGCCAAGTTGCCTGGGTGGGTCTTGCACCCGTGGGCTCAGGCAATCCACTCGCTTTGGCCTCCCAAAGTGCTGGGATTACAGGCTGAGCCACTGAGCCTAGCCAATAAGTTTGTTTTAGTCACCCTTAGTGGAAGTCAAGAGAAATAATGTTTAGGAAGAGTGCCTTGTAATCATGAAAATCTGTATAAATATTACTAATCAGGTACTTTGTTAAAATACAAAAATATGGAGAATTTTTTTCAATAAAAATTACAAATTTTTATCTCAATAGACTCTCAAAAGGATTTGGAAAATGATCCATCAATAAATTCTAAGGAACAGGAGACCACAGTCACAGCAAGTGCCACTGAAGAAGTTCAAACCCCACATTCTGCCTTTGGTCTTAACAAAGACCAGCAAGAGGTAGAGAAAACAGGTCCAGAAGGTGCAGATACAGGTAATAAATCAGAAAGTTCAGATGAAACAAATTTGGGGAAATATCCAAAGGATAAAACAGAAGATGAAAACAATCAGAGTTTTCAGGCTGAAGAACAAGGGCACCACCTCCCTTCAGAAAGCCAGGGTGAAGAACCGGTAGATCCAGATCCTAACCATCCTCCAAGTGACAAGGTAGGAAGAGAAGATGCACACATAGGGAGCAGCTCTGCAGCCCTCCCTGAGGAAGTCAGTGACAGAACTGAAGAAGCATCTCAGGAACCACCTGCCATAGACTCACAGGAGGTGCAGAGTCCTGGTCATTCCAGTACAGGACCAGAGAGCCAGGATGCACTGAGGAGGCGACTGCTAGTACCAGGTAAGAGAACCCACTGCACTGCTATCCTATTTTGTATTGCTCTGTTTCTGAGAACACAGCAAGTCAAGTGCCTTCTTTTCAGAGAACATCTGTCTGTCTCTTAAGATCAGTGCCTTTGAGGCTTGCCCAAGGTCACACAAAGCCATATGGCTGAGTTGATATTCGAATGAGGTTTCTTATCTCCTAGATTAGCTCATCCCACTATTAAGTTGCTTCCTACACAGAAACTGCATTTTTAAACAATGTTTTTATATACTGTTTATATTAATGCAGTATAACAAAAAGGGGACATGACTTATTAAAAACTTGCCTCTGGCTTTTTAATTCTTAAGAGAATATTTTGACTTACACTTTTTAAAAAGCTTTTACTTTTGGGAAACTAAATGTTACTTAAATCAAGAGATGGGTATATTTTCAAGTGAACATTAATGGTACAGTATCCTTAACTCAGTAATTTATCACTTACATAGAACTTTGAGCAAATCAGCTGCTTCATTCTAATTTCCTCTGCTTGTATATTAAGGGGAGTAGGCTTGTCTTCCCTTACGAAGGTAAGAGTTGCAGTGTTCTAAATCCTTAATCAGAATTCAAGATGTGGATTCTAGTTGTGGCTCTATCACTTGCTAACTTGGATGACTTTGGGCAAGTCTCTTACCTTCCTGATACTTTAGTTTCCTATTTGTAAATTGAAGAAGTTAGATGCGATTATGTCCAAGGCATCTTTAGCTCTCACCTTCTGTGATTGTACATATGGATTTGTATTTTGTAAGTACTCTGCAGAGCTCAGTCTCAAACGTCCATTTGCGAGTGCCATTTGCGAGTGGCCAAGGGCTAATAATTCATGTTTTACTACAAATTAATAACTAATTTCAAATAATGTTTTATTTGTTAATCAGTAGAATAGTCTGTAACTTCAGTGAAGACAAGGACTATGTCCCTCTCATTCATTTTGTACCTCTGGCACCTGGCACATAAAAACAACTGTATGAATATTTGTCAAATGAATGAATGAATGTGATTTGTTTGGACCATTATTTGCCATCAGAATTTCACTGGTATGAGTTAGGTGAAGCAGTGTGTGCCTGTAGTCTCAGTTACTTGGGAGGCTGAGGCGAGAGGATCACTTGAGCTTAGGAGGTCAAGGCTGCAATGAGTAATGGTTGCACTACTGTACTCTATCCTGGGCAACAGAATGAGACCCTATCTCTAAAAAACAAAACTAACAAAAAATAATTTACTGTTATGCAGGTTCACTGCGAGTGAAAAAAAGGAAATGTTGCTTAAAAAATGCAATTTGTGTGTGGGAAGCGACAGTATAATTTAATGAGTTTATCTGTAATCTAGATGAAAAACCTTGTTCTGATCTCAGTAAGACTCTTAATGACTCAACTTTTTTTCTTGAAAGGTTAGTAGTAGGCTGCTTTAGGTATTCATTAAAGATCATTCTGTTATTAAATTCCGTGTGCTATTTCAAGAAGCTATTTTTTCAGTGTGATATGAGCCATCCTCTATAAGTGAAGATAATTCTCCTTGTCTGTGCTAATACAGGTACCTGGATGGGGTCAAGCACACATCTAGATTCTAGAGTGATTTTACTTAGGTTGCTATAAAATTTTGCTTTTCTTTTCACCCACTTATTTAAGATTGATGTGCTCACCCCAATTTTTACATATTTCATAAATTTTCCTCACCTTACATTCTTTGCTTTGTATTCCTCCTTCACTAAGAGTTCAAACTTGCTTTTGTAAGCTATTTTGCAACTGTACAACAATCTCTCCTGTCTCAGAACTTAGCGCCTCTGTAATTTTTATATTTGGGGACTTGAGAAGCATGGGAGACTTAAACACTGGAATTAGAGCACTATTGCACTATGATGTTGAATCTTGTTTATAGCTAACATTTCTGAAATCCTTTCTTTTTTTTTTGAATTGGAGTCTCAGTCTGTTGCCCAGGCTAGAGTGCAGTGGCACGCTCATGGCCACCGCAGCCTCAACCTGAGGCAATCCTTCCACCTCAGCATTCCAAGTAGCTGGAATTGCAGGCACACTCTACCACACCTGGCTTATTTTTTAATTTATTGTAGAGATGAGGTCTCACCAATTTGCTTAGGCTGGTCTCAAACCCCTGAGTTGACAATCCTTTCGCTTTGACCTCCCAAAGTGCTGAGATTACAGGCTTGAGCCACCGCTTCCAGCCTGAAATCCCATCCTAATTTTTACATTTTGTATCCCTTGTGGAATCGCATTTTGGATAGGTTTGGCTGCAATACTGAAATGCTTGTTTCTTTGTCTTTGATGTAAGGGGCAGTGAGGAATTCAACTGTAGTAATAGCATCCTTGAATGAATTTCACAGTACTTCATTTTATTCTTCTCAGCAGAATAAAAGTAATAGTCTTAAGGAAAAAACAAAAATGTTAACTTTGCATAACAAAATTTTACAAAGTATAGAAATCCTTTCAGTCAAATCATTCTTTGGTTGGGTGAGAGAAAGATATAAAGGTATATACACTGTTATTAGTATACTGTCTAAAAATAATATTCTTTTTTTCCCCAGAAGCTGGAAGTCATCAACAGGAAACACATAAATTGGAAGAAAACAAAGAGAATGAAGCACAGGATCCCATAAGAAAGATTAATATAAAGAGGTTTTGGAACTATGGTGAGAACAAACCTAGTTTTATTGCAGTGTTGATTCACATGTGAAAAACTTAGTGAAAATACCTAGAAAACTAGCAGATTTAAATAATTTTAACCGTGATCAATAGAGTTTTAGGGATTTTTTTTTTCTCTTTAGGGTGCTGGCTGATACTTTGCTTTGCTTAACATAACAGAAATTCCTACAGTAGGTAGGACTTTTCCTAAATAAGAAACTAAAATTGCCTTTCAATTAGTATTGAGTTCTCAAATGGCATTTAAAAAATATGATCCCCAAAACAAAATGGTCTGCTGTAGGTAGTAGGTACTTTGAGAGTAGGTAGTAGGTACTTTGAGAAGGTAGAAGAAAATTCTGATAGCTCATTTCTAAGTTACATTATTAGCTATAACATCAAATATACAAACTCAGCTTTTACCTTTTAATAAAGATACTATTATGTCTTTGAATAATTAAATCTGAAAGAGGTTAGAAAAAAGGTATTTCTGGTAGATTGAAAGTTTCAACAATTTAAGCAAAAGAAATTTACCACTTTCAGTAAAATCTGACAGTATTATCTCTGCCTCATTTCCGTTTACTACAGGCTTTATTTCTGATTCACGATCTTTCTAATTTTCTATTCTTTTCTCGTTCTTTTGACAGGTCCTATCTTTCTTGGCTTACTGGTTGTGGCTTTTGTGCTAAGTTCTGTTAATAGCTATTATTCCTCTCCAGCCCATCAAGTGCCCAAAAATCCAGCTTTGGAGGCCTTTTTGGCTCAGTTCAGCCAATTGAAGGATAAATTTCCAGGCCAGAGTTCCTTCCTATGGCAGAGAGGGCGTAAGTTTCTCCAAAAGCACCTTAATGCCTCAAACCCCACTGAGCCAGCCACCATCATATTCACAGCAGCTCAAGAGGGACGAGAGACCCTGAAGTGCCTGAGCTACCACGTTGCAGATGCTTACACTTCTTCCCAGAAAGTCTCTGCCATTCAGATCGATGGGACTGGAAGAACCTTGCAGGACAGTGACACAGTCAAGCTGCTGGTAGACATGGAGCTGAGCTATGGATTTGAGAATGGCCAGAAGGCTGCTGTGGTACACCACTTTGAGTCCCTTCCTGCAGGCTCCACCCTGATCTTCTACAAGTATTGTGATCATGAGAATGCTGCCTTTAAAGATGTGGCCCTGGTTCTTACCGTTCTACTAGAGGAGGAAACATTAGAAGCAAGTGTAGGCCCAAGGGAAACTGAAGAAAAGGTGAGGGATTTACTCTGGGCCAAGTTTACCAACTCAAACACTCCCAGTTCCTTCAACCACATGGACTCAGACAAATTGAGTGGACTGTGGAGCCGTATTTCACATCTGGTGTTGCCCGTCCAGCCAGTGAGGAACATAGAGGAACAGGGATGCCTTTTGTAAAGCTCAGCTCTGAGTTGCTTATAGAAGGTGTAAGTTCAGGAAAAAGTCCTTTTAAAGGCCTTAAATTTATGAGAAAGGAAGTGAGGAAATAAACTGAAAAGCACAAATGAACTTATGGCAGGAAAAAAGTCTTCATTTTTACCCTTTGTAAAATCTTTCTAATCTAAGCCATGACAAACTAAAAGTTGACCTGGCATTTTTCTTTGCCTTTCTGAGCAAATCAGGTTTGAAATACAGCATGGTATAGATTACAGGAATTTTCTTAAATTCCAAATATAGCATCAGAATCATTGCATAGGAAGAGCATCTTCTGAGTAACTATGAGTGATTTTTGTTTTCTTGAGTGAGACTCTAAAGAGACTTTTGGAAATGTTTGGATTCAGACTAAAGCAATTACAATTATGAAGCAATGATAATTTTTAGAAAATTTTTCTATCATGCTAAATATTTTTCAAACTCATTTTAGTAATCTGGTTGTGAGATAAACATTTTATACTAATTTTCAGTTTTGAATAGTATGAAAAAAGGAAATAGGAATTCAAACTGTTAAGTACGTACCTAAATACTCACTACACGTAAGGCACTGTGCTTTTATTCCATTAGTGAGCTGAGGTAAAAGCAGCTATACTCAAAAAAGTTCCTTGATTTGGGGAGAATTCCGTCTTTCTCAATTGCCTGAAAAAAAAGTTCTTAAAAATTAGAATCAATGGGAAAATTGTTTATAATCATTGGAAATGAAGAAATTTTAATTGACTGTATCTTTCCTTCAGCTTTCTTAAGTGATTTGGAGCAGTGGTTTTCAAACTGTGTCTACTGGCACACTGCCCCTTTGTATCAAAGCAGTTCTGCTTTTGACTGTTTTATAGAGTGGGGTTCTCTATAAGATTTCACTGGAACAAAGAGTTTCATTGATAATAAAGGTAGAAAACCATTGATTAAGTGAAAAACATCTTAGAAGATAGGAAATGGGTAGAATGTATTAAAATGTATGGGTATGAAGAAAATGAAATACAGGTTTATTATATAGAACACTATTTATGAAAGATAAAGACCTACAGATAGACAGCAGAATGTATAAGCTAGCATTTACTAGCATGTTTCTGATACTTTTCTTTATTTCTGTTAATCATCATTTCTGTCTTCCCTGAATAGACTTTTATAATTAACCTAAGATGAGAATTTGAGAGCCCTTTCAGCAGAACATATTTTAATAACTAATTTAATAGTCGATTTTGTATGGGCATTTTGTGTGTGTGTGTGTGTGTGTGTGTGTGTGTTGGAGTCTCACTTTGTCACCCATGCTAGAGTGCAGTGGCACGCACGGCCACCTCAGCCTCTGCTGGGCAGGTGATCCTTCCGCCTCAGCCTTCCAAGTAGCTGGAACCATAGGCACACACCACCACACCCAGTTAATTTTATGATTTATTATAGAAGCAAGGCCTCACCATATTGCCCAGGCTGGTGTCGAACCCCTGAGTTCAGGCAATCCTCTTGTCTCCACCTCCCAAAGTGCTGGGATTATAGGCATGAGCCACCGCTCCCAGCCTGTATGTGGGCATATTGGCATAACTTTACCAAACAGTTGATTTGCTATGCAGTAATGGAATGTTATATAATGCATCTCATTTTCTTGACCAACTAGTTCAAAGTACAGTTAGGTTAAAAATTAGAGAAATGCAAGAGATGTTGTTAATTAGAGGAAGCAGAAATGGTAGGTAGATTCTCAGAGGTTTTAATGTCCAATATTAGTTGTTGGACCATGTTCTGTGATTGTAAGAAAGATTGAGAACAGTGTTATGGAGACAGTCATTGTTGATTAGCATTTGAGTTCTGAAAGCAGAATTCTGGTAAAATGATCTTCACCTGACAAAGGACCTTTTCCGTTACATGGACTATCACCATGATTCTGGAATGTTTCGACTAGGTTTTGACCCCTCTGAGAAGCATAAATATATATGTATTTAAGAAGTCATGTGATTAAAGTATGGAAGGACTTTAGGAAACACTAAGAAGATATAGGGCTCATTACTAATACCTAAAAAGATTACAAAGACATGGGAAAGAATCCATCTGAAAATATCTGCCGCAGGAAAAACAAATAAATCTGTTCTAACCAAGGTCTTAAGTTGTGCTTAATTGGGTGTAGGAGCATACCTGAAGGAACAGTTTGCATTTGGGACGTTGAAGGCAACTTTCAACAGATTTGAGAAACAACATGAATAAAAAGTTAAATTTGAATGTGCTATCAATGTCAACCCAATATAATAAAATCAGAGGAAAGTGAAGAAAAATCTATATTCCATATTCAATTTTTTCTGCACTTCTAGATCTTAGATGCTAGTCATTACATCACACAAAACCAGTGGTACCTTGTAGAACTGTTCTGATGGCCTGGGACCTGGGCTACCTCAGATCTGTAAAGGAACAAGTACCAAATGTATATACCTAATCTGTGAGTGACTCCAGATTACAGTTGAAACAAGCAAAGATTCTTGTGTCTTCATTAAGTTGAATATGGTGTTTCATTATTTCCTTTCAATGTAATTTCCAAGGTGGTTTTTTTTTTTTAACTGTTAGCCACTTTTTGTTTGTTTGTTTGTTTGTTTGTTTTGTTTTAGTGGTAGTCTCTGTCTCCCAGGCTGTAGTGCAGTGGCATGATCACAGCGACTGGCTCATAGCAGCCTTTATCTCCTGGGCTCAGGCAGTCCTTCCATCTCGGTATCCTGAGGTAGCTGCAACTACAGACACATGCCTGGCTAACTTTTTAATTTTTTTGTAGAGAAAAGGTTTTGCTTTGTTGGCCAGGCTGACCTCGAACTCTTGGGCTTAAGCAATCCTCCGGCCTCAGCCTCCCAAAATGCTGGGATTGCAGGTATGAGCCACTGTACCCAGCCTACTGTAAGCCTTTTTAAAAAAACACTTTTCCTCCCATGTATAAGTGCAATTAACTGAGACTGTTGTCAGTTTTCTGTACACTGTTTCAAAAATCATTTTTTAAAAAGAAGCAATGTATTAGCTCTGGGTCTTCTCATAAATAAAATAATTATTTTTAGAGCATGAGACTATATTTTATAAATGTAGATATAATTAAAATCCATTATCTACTGTGTTCTCTTAGGTTAATTTCTATTTTGTTGTATCTATTTTTTACATTTTTCAAATTTTCTTTTGTATATCTGGTAGTTTATCTTTTATTATTGTAATAAATAATTTACTTATTTGACTTAGACAAATTATTTGGGGGTACCTAATAATACATGATACCTAAACATCACCATTTATTACTGTTGCAGAACAATTTTCATTATATTGTCTATTAATATAAATTACTTTTTGAGTAAGACTAAAATTGTAGGAGCACTTGGTGAAATCAGAAACTATCTTTGGACTTGGAGGATTTTTTCCCTTAGGTAAATTTTAGGTTTTCTAGTTAGTGTCCAGAGGTTGGCAGAGAAATTCTAGGGAGTTCATGTCATTAAAGGTAGTAATACTAATTTGTTGCTATTTCTGTTTTTAGAATTAATAAGGCAATTTCAATGCATTTCACTTGGAAGCCTTCAAGCTTATGGTGGTTAGTGAAACCCAGCATGCCTATGACCCACCATCCTCTCACCTCATGACTCGACTACATAGTGCTAGCCACTGGGGTGGTTTTGACTCTTTAAACAGCTTTTAATTGCTTGATTTATACTTTTCTCTTTTAAAGCTAGAAAGCGTAATGAGCATTGAGGTTGAAGCATAAATACGGCATGCGAAAGTGATAGTAATTCATCAAGATGATCTTCACCAGCTCTGTATTTGCAGACATATGATCAGAATCCTTATGCAGCATATACAGGTCTCTAGCACTTCAAAAATGAATGTTAAATTGAAATATAATTATCATATCTGATGAGGGTTATTTAACAGGAGTAAAGCTTTTATCTATACACAGTTTATTTGTAGAGAAGTACTTTTAGATAGCAACATGAAACTTTATCATTTGAAAATAAAACAAAATTGTAAAAATAAACCAGTACATCTTTGTAAAGCTCTTAATATATCATTTTATGAAAGCAGTTTTTATCTGTTTTTCAAATTGAGTATGAAGTTATTGTTAGTCTTCATTTTAATATCTTGTTCGTCAATCTGAGCATGATATATTTCTTTAAGATTTATTTGTTGAGGAATCATGTTCAGAATTCAGGTACCTTGAACACTGTCTTGCTTGTTCAGTGAAAAACTTGATGCTTTATGAGAAATGCTTGGTTGAATAATAATGTATTTGCCAAGAAGATGTTACTAATTCTAGAGAGAACCAAATATGTAAAACAGTTTCTCTAGATGACTTTAAAGGAGACCTTATTTTTATTTATGCTAGGTTTTAGGTGTTAGGTTGTGAAATACCAAATGGTGTGGGCCCAAGTTTGCCTCATACTACCTGAGGGTAGGCTGTTAAAACTCATTTCTATGTCATATACTGCCCTGTAACTTCTGTATCTGTGCGGGCCGATCCAAATGTTCTGAGTACACAGCCGGTATCCTCTAATCTGCAGAGACATAAATAATTTAGTCTTCAGTGCCTTTCCTTTCATTATTATCTGTAATGTCTATGTCATCTTGCTTTGAGGTCTTTAAAAATTCATAAATTGGCTTATGTATTGGGAAATGGTCTCCCACTTTTCCTCACTGACGCTCATAAACTAAATTTGCCCTTGGCTGAGAGCAGTTATATGAACCAAAAAGAACATTTTGGACTTGAGAAGCAACAGTCTGGGTAGCATTTCAGCAGGGCAGAGTTGGCAGAAGGTGTCATGCGTGCCACCCTTGGCCTGCAGCCAGCACAACCTTCCACCTGTGCTCACGCCAGGCCTAACAACGCAAAGCTCCAGGCAGTTGCTTCTGGTACATTAGAGATCACATGACATTTAAATCTCTTTGCCACTCCTGTCATAAAGGGAAGAAGCAGCACACTGACTTCCAAACCCGATTGCACTTTGCTTATTTGTAATTAGCAAAAA